TAGCATTAGTTTAATTGAACAGGGTGGAAAAAGATCCGGTTCAATGGAAGGGATGATGATGATGATGATGGTGATGATGAATGTCATTTTTGAGCACTCCTGTCCGGCAGCATGTTAAGCCCTTTTACAAATATTATCACATTTCACATATCTACTTTCCTACAAGATGTTATAATGTGTAAAATGAGGAAATGGAGGTATACAGAGAAGGAGCAGCTGTCCCAAGGAGACAAGGAACTAGTAAGTGGCAGGGATAGGTCCTATGCCTGCATCCTTCTGACCTACACATCAGGCTGCGGGGCACCAACACGTTCAGTTAATGGGGTGGAACCATTGTCATTGCGTCATTGTTGAGGGTAGGGTGAGATACGGAGAGAGGACCTTCCTATGGAAACAGAAGCGCTGCTGTGGCCATTCGGTCCCCACAAGGAGTGGGGGGGATCCCTGGTAGTTTCAGTGTTCTCAAAGTGATGGTTGTTGAGGAAATGAGAGTCTGGCACAATGCTGGGACACATCAGTGCTCAATGGGTATTCCTCAGCCATATTGTTGAGGTTCAATTTATGGGCCACCAATACAATTCAGTCACTTATCAAATGAAGGCTTATCTGGCATTCTACCAAGTGACAGGTCACATGCTGGACATAGAATTGCAGGGTTGAGCATTAAGAGCAAGATCCTTGTCCTCCAGCAGTTCAGTGCAAGAGAAAACCACTGAATAATCACAGAAATAAGTGCAACAATCGAATGGCACAGAGTATCAGAAGGTTTTCCAGGTACTCCTCCTCACACGCTGAGTCCCATGGGTCCTGTCATCATTCCCAGGACCCGCCCTCTCACAGTGACATGCACATTCATCGCTCAGGACTAGTGGTCTACTGTCACAAAATGCACCCCAGGCCCTGGACTCTGCAGCTCTCCTTGTATGCCACTGACAGCACCATGAGTTTTCACAGCCTGTGTGGGTAATGGCCCACAGCTGGGGCTTAACATGTGGTGGACAGGCCAGTCATCTCTATGGGCAGTAATTCCCACTGGTGGACACATTTCACACAGGTCTTTTTTGGAGTGCCTGGTCCACAAGTATCTCCCAGAGGCTGATGCCCCAATAAAATTCTTGGAAACTCACTTTTATAGGGGGTAGAAAGGAAAATTTTGAAAAACATCCTCATTTTTCCTATAATAGATCAACTAGTTTGAGGGCAAAGAGACACTGTAAAAACGAGTTGTTTTTACCTTGTGGAGATCTAAGCTATACATTTTTTTTTTTATTTAGCTAAATATCATAGTGGATTTTAGGACTCCTGAAGGAAGTTTTAGAGTGTGACTTTCTACTTAGGTCATGCTTGGACTAATGATAAAGCAACAGAGCCATCATTTTTCCAGACTGTGCATACAGATCACACTGTCCATGCTTGGACATGTCTGGACCCTTGAGGTCCAGAAGGACTGTGGCAATACCAATACTGGACAGAAGAGGGCAATATACGCTCAGGGAGTATGTTCTGCCCAGGACACTGCTCACTGGCAGCATCTTAACAAATGTTTTTCAGCCTTTTGAGGCAGACAGGGTAATGAAACCAAGTCTTGGTAAGATTAAAAGATTGGAAGAGTCATTGGCTGGGTGACTTGGTGCTACTTTTGTAGAGCAGTTCATGCAAAGGTGAAAGTGTCACAGCAGGTGTGACCCTAAATCTAGGGTGTTTGCCTTTACCTACCCCACTTTGAGTTCTGTTATTCCCCGCTTAGTTCCTAAGTAATCAAATAATAGGTTACCATGAATGGTTGCAGAGAAGGTCTGGATTAAAGCCCAGATTTGGACCTCTGCCCTTCCTGGGCACAGTGAAGACAAGGGATATGCTTTAATATCATATTTCATTTCCATGTGTTACAGTAACTATATGGAAATATGTTATAATTGTTCTTTTTTTTTTTTTTTTTTGGTCGGCCGTGGGGCTTGAACTCTGGGCCTGGGCGCTGTCCCTCAGCTCTTCAGCTCAAGGCGAGCGCTCTACCTACCACTTGAGCCACAGTGCCACTTCCGGTTTTTCTGGTGGTTATTGGAGATAGGAGTCTCACAGTCTCTCCTGCCCGGGCTGGCTTTGAACTGCGATCCTCAGATCTCAGCCTCCTGAGTAGCTAGGATTACAGGCGTGAGCCACCGGCGCCCGGCTGTTCTTTTTTTTTTGGGTCCGGTCGTGGGGCCTAAACTCTGGGCCTGGGCACTGTCCCTCAGCTCTTCAGCTTAAGGCTAGCGCTCTGCCACTTGAGCCATAGCACCCCTTCTGGCTTTTTGATTTTTGCTTATGTGGTGCTGAGGAATCAAACCCAGGGCCTCATGCATGCAAGGCAAGTGCTCTACTACTGAGCCACCTTCCCAGCCCCTATAATTGTTCTTTTTGGCAGTACTAGTGTTTGAAGTTAGGGCTTTGAATTTGCTGGGTAAGTACTATACCATTTGAGCCATGCCCTATCTCTTTTTGCTTTAATTTGTTTTTCAAGTGGGGAATCTCATTTTGCACCGTGATCCTCCTATCCCCTGAGTAGCTGGGATCATAGGTGTGTGCCACCACACTCAGCCTGACTATATAGAAAACTTGAGGATCACAGCAATTAACCATGTGCTGAGCAGTTACTGTTGGACCAGGCTGGCGCTGTGCAAAGGGCTTTCACTTTTTATTATCTCACTCAATCCTTCCAAGCAACCCGAGGCATGTAATACTATTCATATTTTACAAGTAGGAAAATTAAGGCCAGAAAGATTTGATAAGTTACCTAAGTTCACTTGGCAAGCAGCTTAGTATCACTCAGATGCCTACATCTTTACCCACACTCCTGCAGCTACACCACGCTGCAATTTCAAGGATTCCTGGCATCTTAAATCAGGCAACCAAATCTATAGCAGACCTCAGGAGCTGTCCCAGTCTTATGCACCCAGATCCAGTGTGCAATGTCGTGATGGAATGGCAACAATGAAGGAATGTGGCATTTGTATAGAAATCCCAATAATTTTAGTATCTTATTTCCCTGGAGTTTAAGGTTTCTCAGAAGAACCAGCTTAGAGCTGGAAGCATAGCTCAGTAGTAGAGTGTCTTCTAGCCAGCCCAAAGCCCAGTGTTCAAACCCCAGTCAGTATTGTCCAGAAGAAGAGGAGGAAGAAGAGGAGAGAGGAGCAGAAGTAGCAGCATCAACTTAGTCTCAGGGAATATGTCACCAAGGTTGACTTTCCTCTTGGATCCTCGAACCTAGAACATTCTCCCATTGATTCAGAAAATTGATCAAACGTATTAGAAATATTTACAACTCTGAAAATTTAAAGCTTGTTCCCCTGTGTTGTGTAAGCAGACACATAAGTTGGGAATCATGTCACACACACAGCGGGCTAAGACCACTTATTTACAGTTAATATTGTTTGTGCTGGATGTTCTAAGTAGAATCTACTTTGTAATGTAATTTTAATGTGTTTTTCATTGAGTCAAAAGCAAAAAAGTAAAAAGTAAAAAGGAGGCTAAGCTCTTAGCTACTCAGGAGGCTGAGATCTGAGTATCACAATTTAAGCCAGCCCAAGCAGAAAAGTACATAAGACTTCAATTAACCAGCAAAAAAAAAAAAAAAAAAAAAAAAAAAGCCAGCATAGTGCTGTAATTCAACTGTTAGAGCACTACCCTTCATCTTAGAGAAAATACGCAGGCCCTGAGTTCAAGTCCCAAGACACATGCACACATGCATTCACACACACACACACACACACACACACACACACACACACACACACACACACACACACACACACATGCAGGAGACTTATTTTGAAAACAATCAAAACAAAGCCAGGTAAACAAACCTTGCAACTGCCAGCTCAGCCTTTCTGCTCACCCCTAGGTCTGCATGATGGGCAGTAGCAGAAGAGGAGAAAAGGGCAATGTTACCTGCTCCATAAATGTTAACATCCATCCCAGTTACCTGTGCATTTGAGCATCATTGTCCAATCCTGTAACCTTTGCTACACAGCCCAGGACTGAGCATAGAAGCCATCCTGTCAAAGCCAGTGATTGACATTTTCCATCTTCAAGCCAGTCCATGGAAGCTCACTTCCTGCCTGTGTCCTCTCTTCTGAGTTCATCCCACTTCTTGTGATTTTTGATACATTGAACTCTTGAAATTGCCCCCCTTCTAAGTGTGGGCCAGATCTGACTTTTGGCTTTTCTACTACACACAATGGCTTAATGGCACTCAGAGAATATCTGAAACATTGTGGTAGGACACAGAGTCCAAATATCAAAGGTACATCCTATACCAGAGGTACTGGTTAGAAGGAAGAGGTCTCTACACTTGATCAAAGCCATACCTCCAGTTCAGCAGTGTGTTAGGAGCCAGACTGCACGGAAAGCCAGCCTTTGGCTCAGTGGCCCCCCTGCCTGGCCTCCCTAGGGTCTGGAGAATGAGTTTACCCCTCCTATTTATCCACAGCCATGCCTGCCTGATTATGTGGAGGAGAAAGCTGCGTAGTTTATGATGTGTAAGACTGCGGTTATGGACTAGGATTTTGCATATCAAGCCCAGTGGAAAGAAACCTAACTTGGAGAGTCTAAGCTGAAACTGAGCAACCCCCCTCCTTCTCCCTCCCACCCTCCTCCATCTTTGTGCAGGATTTACCATCCCTGCCTTCCTGGCTCTTCCCATCATGGATCCAGCCAGCCAAATCTTTCATTAGTTACAGAAACTCAGAGGGAAAACAATGCAACAACTAAACACTGGCAGCCAGTCATGGCAGGTCAGCAGAAAACCCCTTTAAGACCTGCGATAGTTAAGCGGTAACCCGCAGCAAGCTGGTTTCCAAACCCAGGCCCTTGGCACATAGATGTTGCCTGATCTCTGATTGTATCTTGGCTGTGTAGAGCCTTGGAGAAGCCAGTCCCAGTCCTGAGCTGCCCAGCCTCCTCCCATGCTTGACTAAGGAAGACCCAGAAAGGGGAAGGGGACAATTCAGATGGCTGCTTACTGTGCTGGTCGCTCCTGTCCCTTGTCCCGTCCACTGTGCCATCTGGGAGGATCCTCAGGAAGTGGCCTCCGTTGCTGCAGTAGAGGAGTTTGGGTTTCTTGTAGTTCCCGTGAGGCAGGTTAAACCTCTCCGTCAGAGCTGTGAAGGTTGTGATTTCCCCTTCAGCCATGGCTCAGCAGTGGCTGGCGGCAGGGGTGACGATGTTCTCAAGACTGTAAGAAATTACACAGGCTTGTAGAAGATTTTTTTTTTTCCAGCAAAGGCGTGACAGACACTTTGTAGAAGAGAAGGCCCTCTTAGGCACAGTGTTCCTGGTTGACTGCCCAGGTGATGCACAGTGAATGCCCCTGTGAGGTGGTGGTGGGTAGGGAAGCATGGTCCTTGGTATGGGAGGGGTTGCGAGACATTTCTCTTTTCCTAATTGGTCACAGCTTTGGACTAAGTGGTACATTTTTTTTAGAACTTCAGATTGAATCATTTGGCCAACAGGGAGAGAAAAAAAATCATGTTTTGCTCCCTCCTTCTGGTCCCTACACATCCTCAAATTAAACACCAAAGTGGCTCTAAAATAACACCCAGGGTCTGGCTGAAACCCACAGAAGCCAAGAGACCAGCACTGAGGGACTGCCCTCCACCCTCACACTGTTTTGACTAGGGACTGCCAGGCCTGGGCACAGCAGAGAGCCCAGATGACCTGGACAGGCGGTTACCTGTGAGCAAAATTCACAGTAGGGATAAGTATGGACCAGATATCTGGGGTGAATGAGGAGGTGTAGAGCCTGAACTGGAGAAGGAGGCAGAGAAGCATCTTGGGAGGAGTTTTAAAGGGCAAACACAATGCCAAAGGAAACTGTATGAGTCAGATCATTGTGCCAACTGCACCTGGATCCTGCTTGTTCCATGGCCTCTCACAGTCCTCATACCTCATACCACCTGTCCTGGTGCACCGGCCATTTTCATCCTAATATGAGGCTTTTTTTTTTTTAAAGTGAGAGGGTTTTATTTATTTCAAGATTTTGTGCTCGCTAGGAAGCACTCTATGCTTAAACCATGCCTCCAGTTCAGTGTTTTGCTGGTTGTTTTTATTTATTTTTTGGGTCCGGTCATGGGGCCTAAACTCTGGGCCTGGGCGCCGTCCCTCAGCTCTTCAGCTAAAGGCTAGCGCTCTACCACTTGAGCCACAGCTCCACTTCCGGCTTTTTTCTTCTTGCTTATGTGGTGCTGAGGAATCGAACCCAGGGCCTCATGCATACAAGGCAAGCACTGTACCACTGAGCCACCTTCCCAGCCCTGCTGGTTGTTTTTGGGATAGAGTCTAGCAAACTTTTCTGTCAAGGATGGCCTCAAACCATGATCCTCCAGAACTCAGCCTTTTGAATCTCCAGGGTGACAAGCATGAGCCACTGGCATTGGCATGTCTTTTAACCTGCAAACTACTGTATTATATATTATATATTATGATCCTCTAACCCTGTATATACCACTGTATATGCATTTATATTACTAGTGTAAAATTGTACTATCATCTCTAAGTTTATAAAAATTAAATCTAATGGATGTTAGAATGTTAAGGCATGTACTTGCCCACCATTTAGTTGAAGAAAGGGCAGGTGACTACGAAATCTGGAAAAGAAAGATACCAAAAAGAGAACAGGAAGCTAATATGAAGACTTTACCTTGGAGTGAGTAGCTATTAATTGTACATAGGGATTATCAAGTGGATTTATCATCAAAATGGTCATCAGCATCAACATGTTCTGGACTTGTAAGATAACACCTTATCCTTTAACTTGGTTATGAATACTGCATTTCAAAAATCTCTATATATATAAAGGATAAATCCAAAGTCAATGGCTAGAAGTAGTAGAGCTAAGCCTCACAGTGGGTCTGTGGACCCAAAGCTCTCATTTGCCTTTAACTGGTGAAAGGTGAAGGGATTTGTGGGTACTGAAATACTGGGAGGAACCTGCGATTTGTGCCCATTGCCTCAAATAGTCTCTCACTTGTGATCTAAATGCTGGTGGCTTCCACCAACAGCTTCTGCCCCTGGCCCTGCCATCCTTGCAGTGAGACACCAAACCTCCCAGGAGAAACCCATCCCTCCCTCACACAGACCACGCAATCCCTGTGTTCCCTGTTGGAGGCTCCTGTCCAGGCCTACCCTGGAACAGCCTAGTGAGCAGCACTCACAGGAAGCTCATTCACAAATCATGCCACCACTCTGGATACAAGGATTGGAATGCACATTGGAAGCCTCTATTCATTGTATCTGCTTCTGGCATCTGAATCTTTCTGGCACCTTATTTCCAAGCTATAGCCACCCAGGCTTGTCACTGGACTCAGTTTCAGCTACTGGTTGAGAACCCGACTTCCAGGGATCTACAAAACAAGTTTCACTTATACTCTACAAACTGTATTTAAAGCCAAAGAGTACGATAGTGCTCATAGTCATGCATATGACTAGGCCATGCAGCCTGGACGTCATCTTTGGGCAGCCCTCACCAGCTAAATGACCTTGGCCAGTGCTGAGTAGATACCACAGAACATCCTGCACTTGTTCAGGTCATAGTTTTGTTCTCTGCCTGCTCCCCCATGTAAGACGACCAGACATGGGAGTGACTGAACTCTTATGAACCCTTCAGTTCATATTTGTACCGATAAAACTGAGCCACAGTCTAAGTCCAAAAAAGAAATCTGATATCAGTATGGCACTGGTAGCTATGGGAGGGGTTTTATGGATCAGCCAAAACCCCACGGGCATGAAATGCCCCCTTAAAAAAATTATTTACAGTTGACCTAAATTTGAGCAGTGGTTGGTCCAAAGCTCTTTGCCAGTCCTTTGTTAATTAAAGGACAGGAGTAAAGGAAGTGTATGACATGATAAAACCACGAGACAGCAGCCATCGCAAGTCCTTGAGCATTTACACAAATTGCTCTAATGAATGAATCCATTAACAAAGTGAAGTCAGGCATTAAGCACAGCGGAAGTTTATGAGCTCTGCTTCTCATTACTGTTTTCTGTTTATGGGCATCAGGGGAGGAGATTATTTGTGTGGTGGGGGACAGAGTTCAAGCCCTATAGACAGCAGGTCATTGTTATGGCATCAAGGCCAGCTTGTGGAGATTTGGGGCAATGGGGAGATTTTAAGAAAAGCCAGAGGAGTTTCTTGATGTGTCAGTGACAGCAAAATGAGAGGAACACACGAACGTGCAGGAGTGGTGCAGGAAGTACACACTCATACTCCTCCTCAGGAATCCCAGTCACTTTTCAATGTGCAGCATCACACAACTTCAGCACAGTCCTGACTGTGTGCCTATTGGCTCTGGGAAAGTGCCGGGGTCCCTTCCTCAGTAACCTTTCCTCTAATGATCTCCACTTTACCTACTGCCTCAGGGTTTTCGAAAGGGTTAAATGACCATGAGAGTTACATAAGAATTTGAAAGGTGTCGCATGTGGTGCAGTTGCTCCTGTTGAACTCCTTGAAGCCTGGTCTGGTATCTCTAGGTCAGTGGTGGTTAAATGATTTGTTTAAGATGATTTTTCAACTGATGTGAAAATAGTTTCTCATGTCCTCCTATTCATTCAAATTAGACATTAGAAATTAGCCAAGACAGGAGACTGCAATGCTTGGTAAGAAATGTATGCATTATCCTGCCCATGTAATTGTAACCCCTCTGTACAGTATGTTCTCAAATAAAATAAAATAAAATTAAAAAAAAAAAAGAAATTAGCCAAGACCCTCCTTACAGTAGTCAAGCCACAAACAAAGCAGAGAAGATGACAGAGAAGAAGGTAAACAGTGTGTATATAAGAGTGATTTCAGGTTAGTTTTTCAGACTCGGTTCTCAGCTCATCAGTAGTGATTGAAGTGACACTGCTATTTCTGGGAGACATTTGTGACTTAAGTGCACAGAAAAGATGGCTATAAAAGTCAAGGGAAAGCAGACACTGACATTTATTTTTGACCTCTGTCTCTTAGGTGATACAGAACACTTGCCCAGATGGGCATTTTGAAAGGTATGTAACACTACCAAAGTCAAATGTGTGGGGTCTGTTAAGGCAGTAATCGGATGTATATATAAAGCAAAACTCAGATCTAAGCCCTTCTCCCTGTCTCTATAAAGCCATCCATCACTCAAAACTCTTAATTCTTCCTCAGAGACATAGTTAACAGTAAAATAAACAACAGAATGCATCAGTTCCAAACTAGCAAGTAGTAAGGCTGAGGGAGATGAACTGGAATTAGTAGAACAGTTTTTATTTATCCAAAGTAACCAGAATAGGGAGATGAAGCATAGAAAAAAGAAAGTGCTGCTGAAAAGTAGGAAATTAACCCAAATAAGTTTGTAATTGCAGTAAGGGAAAAATGGCAAATTTTTTGCTAGATTTTTAAAAATTCCATCTAGACTCTGATTATAGGAGATATATTTAAAATGCAAGGTTACAGAAAGGTTAAAAGTTAAAGGTTAAAAAGTAACCCAGTCCAGGAAATGGAAACAAGAGGGTTTTTTTTTCTTTGTTGCTGCTTTCATTTTCTTTCTTTTTTGTCTTGTTTGTTTATCTGTCTTTGGGAGGGTCAGGGGTGGCATAGAAATGGAGGGATAAAGGGTAAATAAATGCAGCAGTGATACTCATTAGACACTATTTTGAAAAGGAACTATATAACTTATGGGGGGTGGGGTCATAGGAGGAAAAATCTGAAAGAGTATGAGGGAAGGGGTGACACTGTCCAAAAAGCAATCTACTCTTTACCTAACTTATATAACTGTAACCTCCTCTGTGCATCACCTTTATAATAACAGTAAAAGAATTTTAAAAAAAAGTAACCCAGGTCCAGTGAGGTGCATCTGTAGTCCCAGCTACACAGAGAGCAGAAGCAGGAAGATTGCTTGAGTCCAAGAGTTGGAGGTTAGACAACAGAGTGAAACCTTGTCTCAATGAGAAAAATGGACAACAAATGAATGATAATAAAAATAATTAAACATTGCCATGGCTATATTAATACCAGATGAAATAACTCTTAGGCTAAAAGAATGATTAAATAGAAAAGGACTAGTACATCATGAAAAACAGAAAAATCCAAAAGAAGGATATAAAATTTTCAACCATGTATACACCCAGTAACATAGCCTGAAATACCTAAGATACAGATGGACAAATATATCTCCATACAGTTGACAAATACCTAAAGAGGAGTTGTCAAATGTCTGA